GTCCAGGGCCAGGTGGCTCAAGGTGTTGTCAGTGACTCCAGACTGTTTTTGGGGGGAGGCAGGAGGCTCCAAAGGTTCTAGATATATTGACTATTTGGAACTCAGAACACTGTCTAAGTAGTGGCAGTTTGGTAAAGAGCCCTGTTGAATGCCTAACATACACCAACAATAGCTGGAAAGTCAGGGAAGAGCCCAGTGGGCACCAGTTAACACTTGTTGACAACTGACCATGTCCCAGGCCCTTTTATATATGGTATGTCACTTTCTTCACCCCAAATCTGAGAGACTCTCACAGTGTGTTATTCAGAGAGGCTGACATTTCTCAGGTAGTAGGTGGCAGGATTAGGATTGGAATAGTCCTGTGGGACCTCACAGCTGGGTTCCTTCTCTTCCACTCTGCCACCCATGGTGCTCACTGAGATTGCCACAAAAATCAACCACCATTAAGTGAAGTGCTCCCATGGGAGCCATGTCTATAATTCTACCTCAAAGCCAGAGCCCCACCTTCTCCACAGCTCTCTCCCGGACCTGCCCTGAGTAAGGTGAGAAGGGAGGTTAGGAGGGTCTCTGGCCACAAGAGAGACAGGAAAGGATACAGATTCAGCCTGTGGTTGTGACTCAGGCCACAGAGGCTCATGATTGCCTTTCCCTTCCTTCCCCACTGTGGGTCATGTATGCTATGCCTTTGACCCTCCTCCACCCTCCTGGATTTAACCTTCAGGGACTTATGTGCTTATTTGTTCACCATAGATTTATTGGGCACTTTAAACACTCTCTGCGTTGGGCCAAGGCCTGGAGCTGGGAGGCAGCCCTTGAGAAGGCCTGCTGAGGACTTCTGGTTGTCATGGTGATTCCATCAGCCAGCTGGCCTGACTCTCTGCCGCTTGTGTCAGTCAGCTGTGAAGAGTGAGGCCCCATCCTTGTCTTTAATCTGTCTAGTGGGGCTCCTTCCTTCTGACCTGGCCACTCCTGCACTCCAGCTCCTGCCTGTGAGGTCCAGGAATCTTCCTGGTGTGGACCCCTCTCTGCTGCCATGCGCAGACTCTGCCAGGAAGATTCTGTTCTGCCTTCAGGCTTTCCTCTCCAGGGTCACACTTTACCTTTACCACTTAAGTGAGCATGGTTCCCCAAGTGACACCTCAGACACTGGGATGTCCTGAATTCAAAGCAGTTTGCTCAGGGGACATTCAATTTGCACTTGTGAAAATGAATTAAAAGTGCATCTGAAGTGTCAAGCATGGTGGTACATGCCTGTAATCCCAGCACTCAGGAGGCTGAAGCAAGAGGATCATGAGTTCAAGGCCAACCTAGGCTACATAGGAAGTTCCAGGGCAGCTGGGCTACATAGTGAGACTCTTTCTCAAAACACCACCAACAACAAAAGCGTAAAATCTAGGAAGTTTTGAGGAAATAAAAGGATAAAAGGTCAGGAAAGAATATTCCCACCTTATAGTAAATGTGTAATTCAGTTACAAGGTTTTGTTATTTTAACTGATTTGGTACCTGCACTGAAATAACAGAAGTTCAAAAAAAAGAATACATGCAAGAAATAAGCCCAAATAGCTATTGGAATTTAATTTGTGCTACATAAACATTTTTGAATCAGTGGTTGAATAATGGATTACTGAAGAAATGATGCTGGAACAACTGACTATCCATCGGAGAGAAGACTGAACCACTCCGCCACCCCAAATGGTTCAATCAAGTAAGCCTTTCCAAAAAGCTATAAAATAAAATGTCTCATAAATATGAATAAATAAAAAATTAAACTCTAGAAGGCAAAATAGCAACCACAAAAATTAAACAACATAATAATGAAAAGGGGGGAAACAAAGAAAAATGTTTGCTATGGTTTGGATATGAAATGTCCCCAACAGGCTCATGTGTGGAAGGGTTGGTCCCCAACTGGAGGACTCTCATGTCATCAATGGACTGATCCATTAATGAGTTTATAGCTAAATGGGCTATGAGTTGGGTCCTAGTTGGAGAAAGTATGTCACTTGGGGCATGCCTTTGAATAGATGTATCTTGTCCCTGACCCCTTCCTGGCTCTGCCTCTCTGCTTCCTGTCTACCATGAGGTGAGCTGCTTTGCTCCATGTGCTTCCTGTCATGATGTTTGGCCTCACATGTACCCAGGAGCCACAGAGCCAAAGTGACCATGAGCTGAAACCTCTGAAGCTACAAACCAAAAATAAACCTTTGATCCTTGAAACTGCTATTAATCCTTTTTTTTCCAGTATTGGGAATCAAACCCAGGACCTTGAGTATGTGAGGCATGTGCTCTACAAACATTAGCCATGTCTCTAGCCCATTTTTTTTTGTTGTTGTATTTTGGTTTTGAAACAGTCTTGCTGCTACCTTGCTCCAGCTGGCCTCAAACTCATCACCTGAGTAGTTGGAATTACAGGCATGCACCATCATGCCCAGCTTATTAATAGAATATTTTTTAGAGCAGTTTTAGGTTTACAGAAAAAACTGCAGAGTTCCCCTGTCTCCTCCTCCCTCCCTTTTCCCGTGTTAGTAACATCTTACATAAGTGTAATTGATGAATTCATATTGGTCTTAGCTTTTTTTTCCCCCAGTACTGGAAGGATCCAACCCAGGGCCTCGGACATGCTAGGAAAGCCCCCAGCCCTTTTATTTTTTGAGAGAGATCTCACTAAGTTGTCCAGGCTGTCCTCGAACTTGCAATCCTCCTTAGGTAGCCAAGATTACAGACATGCATCACCACACCTGACTGAAAAATAGACTATTTTTTAATCATTACAGAGAAAAAAGAAAAACTGTTTTCTTTGAAGTGTTCTAATGGAAAGGTAATTGAACTTCACCATCTTTAGAAACTAGAGAAAAAGAATCATCACCTACTATAGTAGATGATGGTAAAATGTAGTTACCATTTTAGTATTGTGTGATGTTTCCCTGGAGTCTTTTTGCAATGCATCTTGTAATCTTACGAAACATACATCATCATGATCTGCTTTTGTGGTTGGTTTCATCATAGCATTTTTGGTATTGCTACCAGGACAGGGAACGTTCATTTGGAAGAATTGTATATTTGACTGTTCAGAAGGAGCATGAAGTCTGGAATTAGGAGGTATCAAACTGAAAGATACTGTTGGGGGAGGAAGGACTGTCATTCTTACTTCCCTCCCCTTTTTTCCCTTTTTTTCCCTCCCACCCTCCCTCCAGAAAGAGAATCTCTGTGTGGGCACTGGAGGGCTTAGCTGTGATTGGTGTCTTTGCAAGTCTGTGTATGTGAAAGTCAAGGCTTGTGAGGCTGCAACTGAAATATCACTTGTCTCTCATGCTAAAGTAGTTTGTTTAGTGTTGAGCATAATTTGAGATTTCTTTTACTGAATCAGTGTCTACTTGACAATATATGCCTGACATTAGGTGAGAATAATCATTTTTGTTTCCATTCTGTCTACTCTTGAGTAGATATGATTGTCATTAATATAACTTTTTTTGCACAGTGGACTTTCTTAAAGTCAGATTGGCAGCTTTGCATGATAGCAAACAAAATTCCTGAGCTACCCAGCCTAGGGAAGCAGAGGAGGCAGCCCCAGGCCAGCTGTGTTGACATAGTGCAGCTGACCTCTTCTGCAGAAGGGAGACAACAGCTGTTCTCCACTTCTAGGTTTGCTATAAGGATTATAGGCGAGAATGCAAAGATGGTGTTTGTAACAGGAATGAGCAAACAGAAGGTTCTCAATGCATGGTGGTTAGCTGCAAAATTACACTTAGACATTGAAAACACTGAAGGAAATTGAAAGATGCAGAAAAGCACAAACATACAGTTGCTTTACAAAAAATGCAATGCTATTGTTCAAAGTTTAAAACATTTATTTCTTGACAAAGCGTAAAGGATTTCCTAACACCTATAGGGCAAAATGCTGTCAGTATTTTTCCTGAGCACCTATTATGGGCTAGATTCTGTTCAGCGACTCAGAGAGATTATGTACTAGACCAGGCCCTCCAATACCCCTCAAAAGCAGCCCATTAGCCCTTACATTCTCATAGTCACACCTAACAGTTTAAACTTTTCCCCCACTCAGTTCTCGGGACCGTACAAGAACCACCTCGCGGAAATCATCCTGGGTATCCTGGCACAAAAATTCTGCCTTTTTCTCTCCCTCATCCGCAACAGGGCTGCGCCTCCTGGGTGTTTCTCTCATCATCACGGTTCATGGTGACCCACAAGGCCTGAAATTGTCCTCCTGGGTCAATTGGGAGACCCACCCAAACCCTTTCTAGGCTCTGTGACCCATTTCCTCCTCTTTGGTTATCTGGGTCCTGGGGGAGTAGGGGGTGGGGGGCTTGGAAACACTAGGGTTTGGTGTTCCAAAGCTTCTCACCCATCAACACATGCTTCCCTGCCTGGACCCTGGACCCACATAGGGACTGAACAAAGCCCGATGGCCATTTGCTTCCCCACAGCCAGGGGCTAGAGGCAGGGCGGCCAAGGAAGGCATAGAAGCAGGAGAAAAGGCTAGGTTTTGCAGGAGCCGGTCCAGCACTTCAAGGCCTGGATGCACTGGGTTCTCCCTACCCACAGGCCCGAAGCTGCGATTGGACCAGTGGAGATGGTCTGCAGCTCTGAATTAGGGGCCTTGCCAGTCCTCCAAGCACATGGGCCTGCTCAATCAGCAAAATGTAGAGCCAAAGGGAGAAACGATTCCTTAAAGCCCCCCATCAAGCATCTACTGTGTGAGCACTCTGTAGGGACCACGGCCTGGGGTCGGTCAGTCTTTCAGTGAAGATGGCAAGCTGGCTGTAAGAGTCCTACTAGCCTAGAAAGACAAAAGGTCCCTAGAGAACCTTCTCTGCTAAGGCAGGGAACCTCAATCTAGAGCAAAGCATCAGGCTCCAGCGAAACCGCCCTTCTTCCAGCCACACTCAAAATGGCTCCGTACTTAGGCCCATTCGTGAGGTCTGCGCAGGCGCACTTCCGCCTGCCACTCCCAATATGGCTCCAACAGCGCGCCCCGGGGTGGGACCAATGGCGGAAGTGGGTGTGGCAGCGACGGAAGCCGGATCGGCAAGCCTCAGAGAAGAGGTACTGGGGAGTGGGAGCAGCCGGGTTCGCAGCGATGATCCCCCCTCAGGAGGCTTCCGCCCGGCGGCGGGAAATCGAAGACAAGCTGAAGCAGGTGGGATTAGGGCTGGAGAGGTGAAGGGAGAGCTGGGCCCGGACATCTGTTCTGGAGTGGAGGGAGGCAGGGGTGGGAGATGGGGTTGGGGGCTAGGCCCTGGGGCCGGGAAGCAGCGAACTTCTGTAGCCTTCGGCTTCTGGTGATGTCCTCTCCTCCATCCCTCCCAGGAGGAGGAGACGCTGTCCTTCATTCGAGACAGCCTGGAGAAGAGCGACCAGCTCACTAAGAACATGGTGAGTGGCCTCCTAGCTGGGAGGGGCAGACAGGCGTGCGACCCCTGGGTGCGGTGCCCAAGGCCTGGGGTTCCGCCATAGGTAGTAATGACAGCTTCTCTAGCAACGCTGTGGCATGTGTTACCTAGTCCCCTTCCCGGTGTTCCGCCCCTCACTGGAACACTACAGCGCCTGCTGGCCTGGAAGTCCTGCTTTCTCCCTTCTCTCCCGCAAACATTTAGTGAGGCTGAGGAGCTGAGCTGGTATTGGCTATGTCATTAGTTAAGTGAAGGATGTTGGCCAGGGATATTGGTACATTAAGATCACTGAGGGCAGAGAACACTCAATCTTCACCCCACAGGACTTTAGGTACAGAACAGGCCTTGGGGTCCAACAGATCTGGGGATCTCTTTCTTGCCCTGCTGTTTACTTGTGTGGCTTCTGGCAATTATCTCTGAGTTTTGGTTAATTTGCCTGCTAAAACAGAGACAAAGCCAATCTCCCACTGGGTCTGTGAAGGACTAATGAGCTAAGTTTGGCATGCAATAGACACTCAATAAATGTCTCTTTATTTCTAAGGGAGACCAGAAAAGCCCAAATTGAGTAAATGCGGACTTGGAGTTGTATTTAGTCACACAATAATACAATCCTAGTCTCTATTTAATGAGACTTATTCTTAGAGAGGGTTTTGAAGGTACAGGCAATGTATTTGAGGCTACTCTGTATAAAGCTACTTCCTGTTAAATCTAGGAAAACTTTAGAACATACTTGAGAGTTGGCTTTAAAGCATGGAAAGGAAGGGGGCTGGCAGAGTGACTCAAACAGTAGAGCGCCTGCCTAACAAGCATGAAGCCCTGAGTTCAAACACCAGTGCCACTAAAAAAAAAAAAAAAAAGTGGAAAGGAAGCCATCCCAGAGTGGTTTTCTTAGAAAGAATTTGATGCTTGGCTTGCATTCAAATAAAATTTCAACCTATTTACTTTGGACTGTACTGGGTACATGGAGGGTGATAGGGACACAGGTAGTGAACAGGGCAACTCTGTCCCTTCCCTCATGGAGGTTATTGTCTAGATAACTGGAGAAAAGGCAGGAAGTGCCAGTTGCCTGTGGGTGGGTGAAAGCAATGCTGCGACAACCCTGAGGCTTGCGAGCTGGAGGCTTCCCTCCCACAGGTGTCTATCCTGTCATCCTTTGAGAGCCGCCTCATGAAGCTGGAGAACTCCATCATCCCTGTGCACAAGCAGACAGAGAACCTGCAGCGGCTGCAGGAGAATGTTGAGAAGACATTATCCTGCCTGGACCACGTCATCAGCTACTACCATGTGGCCAGTGACACTGAGAAGATCATCAGGGAAGGGTGAGCTGGATGCTGAGGACCACATCCCATTAAATGCCTCCTGGACCAGTGGCCCTAAGCCTAGAATCCCCAGTGTGAATTCGCTTCTTTCCCTTCCTGTACCGTGCCCTCAGTCTCTCCTCCTTGTCCCCATCATCCTAGGCTGATCTGGCTCTTTGCCTTCCCAGCCCCACAGGTAGGCTGGAGGAATATCTAGGAAGTATGGCCAAGATCCAGAAGGCTGTGGAATATTTCCAGGACAACAGCCCAGACAGCCCAGAGCTCAACAAAGTGGTAAGGGACCAGCAGAGTAATGTGAGAAGTTTGAGGACATCAGTTCCTACCCTGTCTCATGATAAATACCTTCTCAGCTTAAAGAAGCATATAGAATAAACAGAAAGCTATAATACAATACTCACACTGTAGACATTAAATACTCTGCCTCAGGATATAAAACTATACGTTTTTATAATTTAGCTAAATTACAAGTTATATTTCAAATGTAAGTTTAACATTTAATTTTTACAGGCACTTTGTGGTTTCTTCATTGTGTTAAAAAAAAAAATCACATAAAATTTACCATTTTATGGGCTAGGGGGATGGCTCAAGTGCCTAACAAGTGTGAGGCTCTAAGTCCAGGCTCCAATACTGCCCCCTGCCAAAAAAATTTAACATTTTAATCCTTTATAAGTGAGTAGTTCAATGGCATTGACTACATCCACATTGTTGTGCCACCATCGCCACCATCACCACCATCCCAAATTGAGGTGCTGTCTCCAGTTAACACTGGGCACCCATTCTGCCCTTCCCCCCAGCAAAAATATGTGTCATATTTTTGTGGCTTAGTTTTGAGGTCATTAGATCATTAAAGCAAGATGGGGAAGACTTGGGAGTGAGGTTTATGCAGTGCATGAGGTAAGAAGAGGGTACAGACAGTGGGGGAGGAGGGGTCATAGAGGCCCAGACATCCGGCAGGGTCAGGGCATTAGGGGAGAGGCCAACTCACACCCTATCACCTAGCACATTGTTTTTGTTTTTGTTTGTTTGTTTTTGTGGTGCTGAGGCTTGAACTCGGCCTCACATTTGCCTGACAGGTACTGTACCAGTTCAGCCACTCTGCCAGCCTTTTTTTGTGTTAAATATTTTTGAGATAGGATCTCACGAACTATTTGCCCAAGGTTGGCTTCGAACTGCAACCCTCCTCTCTACCTCCTGAGTAGCTAGGATTATGAGCTACTGGCGCCAACCTGGCATGCCTTCTTAATGGGGCCATAGTTCTAGCCCTGAGATATGTGCCTTGCCCAGAAGAGGGAGCAGGTTGGAGAACAAAGTTGGCAAGTTAGTTTTTTTTTCCCCAACCAGAAAGGAGTAGAACTACTCCTTTCTCTTTCCTTAACATCTTCTTCACTGAAATATAATTCACATTCCATGAAATTTATCTATTTAAAATGTTAATTTTGCCAGGTACTGGTGGCTCATGCCATCTAGCTGCTTGGGACGCTGAGATGAGGAGTATTGTGGTTTGAGGCCAGCTTGGCGGGATGGAGGGGGAGTAGTTTTAGAGACCACAGCTGGGTGCAGTGGCATGCACCTGTCATCGTGAGCTACCTAGGAGACAGATCAGGAAGATTTTGATTCTAGGCCAACCCTGAGCCAAAAAGGTTGTGAGATTCCATCTCAACAGAAAAAAAGCTGGGTGTGGTAGGATGCACTTGTCATCCCAGCTACTGTGGGAAGTTTAACATAGGAGGATTGCAGTCCAAAATAACCAGAGCAAAAAGGGCTGGAGGCTCAAGCAATAGTGTGTCTGCCTAGCAAACATGAAGCCCTAAGTTCAAACCCCAGTACCACAAAAAGAATAAAATAAAATGAAGGTTTTTCTAGGTGTGGTGGCATACACTTACTGTCTCAGCAACTTGGGAGGCAGAGATCAGGAGGATTGTAGTTCGAGGTCAGCCCGAGGAAAAGAGCTCAAAAGATTCCACTTCAGCAAAACATACTGGACGTGTTGGTGCATGTCTATAATCCCATCTGTGTGGGAGGCTTAGGTTAGAAGATCTCTGTCCCAGGTCATCCTTTGGCAAAAAGCACAAGTCTCCATCTGAAAAATAACTAAAGCAAAAAAAGGACTGGGGGTGTGTGGCTCAAGTGGTAGCTGGCTGGTAAGTGAAAAGCACTGAATTTAAACTCTAGTATCACAAAAAAAAAAAAAAAATCAAAAGTAACTTCAAAAACAAAAAATTCCTGTGCAGATTTCATAGCTCACTTGATGGGGAGAAGCCCTTAACCAATCCCGAGTTATTGTCGATTGTGTTTAAATCATGTGAGATCTGCTGAATGTTTCCTTGCCCTTCATTTTGTGACAGTATGCCTCCTAAAAAGCAAATGGTGCCCCCAAAACAAGGTAAAAGTGAATGTGCTTGATTGAAATAATAGAGTGAAAATTTTAGGAAGGTGGAGTGTCTTTAGCCAAAGCTGGAAATATGAATTAGGTATCTGCTGTAAGCACTGAACTCTGCATCCTACAGCATTCACAGTTTTTCCTCAATGGCCATCTCCTTGGTACCATGTATCGGCAGAGACCAAGGCTCTACTGTACCTCATTCTTTTCACCACCAATTAATATGGACACATCATATTTTGTTTATCCATTTATCCCTTGATGGACACCTTTTTCCACTTTTTGGCTGGTGTGAATACTGCTGTGAACCTTTGTGTACATGTTTTTGTATGGACATGTGTTTTGAATTCTATGTTCTGGATAGCTGACTTATCAAGTATGCGGCTTGTAAATACTTTCATTCTGTGGGCTGACTTTTCACTTTCTTGCTGATAGCATTTGGAGCACAAAATTTTCAATTTGCTAGAGTTTAAGATACTTATTTTTTTTCTTTTTCAAATCCTTTTCTAACAAGACAACAAATTAACACTGCAAATGAGGAAATTATCATCCAGTAGTTATTAAGCAGCTACTTCTTGTAGAATTCTGAGTTTTACCTGTGAGCATCAATTTTGAGAGAATGTAAGATAAAAAAATCAAGTAGGTTTCCCAGTGTTTCTTCTCTGGGTTTTATAAAGGAAGGAGGGCATTGCAGGGTGGAGCCCCTGAGTCAGGAGGGCAAAGCACAGGCAGGGAAGGGCAAGGGCAGTAGAGCACCATGTAACAGCAGCAGCCTGCTCCCTTCTCTTGTCCCCACAGAAGCTGCTGTTTGAGAGAGGGAAGGAGTCACTGGAGTCTGAGTTCCGCAGTCTGATGACCCGCCACAGTAAGGTCGTCTCCCCTGTGCTCATCCTGGATCTGATCAGTGGTGATGACGAGATGGAGGTCCAGGAGGAGGTGGCCTTGGAGCACCTGCCTGAAAGCGTGCTCCAGGACGTGGTCCGTATCTCCCGCTGGCTGGTGGAATATGGCCGCAACCAAGGTAAGAGGGCTCCAGCTGCTCCTCCGCCCGCAGCTTCCCCACCTCTTTTCATTCTTACTCCATCTGGAATTTTGAGATAAAAGGAAGGTTCATGAGAAACTCTGTGACCAATAATTTGACATTAAGCTTAAATACCAAATTGTGGATCTACTCAAATCCAAGCTTTTCTTTATGTACCTTACTTGTTACTTTACTTGTTTTGATTCACTGTGAGTTATTTTATTTATTTATTTATTTATTTAAGTTTATTTTTTATTATTCATATGTGCATACAATGCTTGGGTCATTTCTCCCCCCGCCCCCACCCCCTCCCTTACCACCCACTCTGCCCCCTCCCTCTCCCCCGACCCCTTCAATACCCAGCACAAACTATTTTGCCCTTATTTCCAATTTTGTTGAAGAAAGAGTATAAGCAATAATAGGAAGGAACAAGGGTTTTTGCTGGTTGAGATAAGGATAGCTATACAGGGAGTTGACTCACATTAATTTCCTGTGCGTGTTTGTTACCTTCTAGGTTAATTCTTTTTGATCTAACCTTTTCTCTAGTTCCTGGTCCCCTTCTCCTATTGGCCTCAGTTGCTTTTAAGGTATCTGCTTTAGTTTCTCTGTGTTGAGGGCAACAAATGCTAGCTAATTTTTTAGGTGTCTTACCTATCCTCACACCTCCCTTGTGTGCTCTCGCTTTTATCATGTGCTCAAAGTCCAATCCCCTTGTTATGTTTGCCCTTGATCTAATGTCCACATATGAGGGAGAATATATGATTTTTGGTCTTTTGGGCCAGGCTAACCTCACTCAGAATGATGTTCTCCAATTCCATCCATTTACCAGTGAATGATAACATTTCATTCTTCTTCATGGCTGCATAAAATTCCATTGTGTATAGATACCACATTTTCTTGATCCATTTGTCAGTACTGGGGCATCTTGGCTGTTTCCATAACTTGGCTATTGTGAAAAGTGCTGCAGTAAACATGGGTGTGCAGGTGCCTCTGGAGTAACCTGTGCATTGTGAATTTTTTAAATCATTCAGCAAGTCATAGGTAAAAAGTAAAAATCCATCTCCTTGTCTATCTAATGTCTACAGCATTATGGCCCAAAGAGGAGCCTAAAGAAGATCCCTTCAAAGGATCTTCATGCCCGTGTGTGTGTGTCTGACAGAGACACAGACAGAGACAGAGAGTACAGTTGCACGTGTCCTCTTCCAAATGTTCTACATTTACTTATAGTGTTTAAACATTAAACACAATGTTTTAAACACTGTCCTACAATTATTTTTTTAACTTCATAATATGCCTTGAGATTATTCTAAATCAGTACATGTAGATTTCATTCATTTTTTAAAATAGGTACGTAATATTCCACAGTATGGTAGTACCGTTTCTTTAGCCAGTCTTAGAATTTAGAGTTATTTATTTATTTATTGGCAGTAGTGGGGTCTGAACTTGTGGTCTTACATTTGTGAGGCAGGCACTTTCCTGCATGAGCCATACCTTCAGCCCTAAAACATAATCTTGAATTAAGCAAAACTTTTAGAAGGTAACAACTCCGTGGATATTCCAGTTTACACTTTTCAGCCTCAGACTTGTGGTTATCAGCGTGAACATATACCACATGGTCGGTGTGCTGTCTCATCTCTGATTATCCCGTTTCCCACAAATACTGGTGACAGGTCTCACATCCATGGTACGTTAGAATCCCCGAGCAAGCACGGGTTTATGAACCATGCTGGAGGGAGCCTAGGACTTGGTGGAGGATTTTCAGGGGCTCCTCTGGGTTGTGGAGGGAGGCCTAATAGGCAGCCTTCTGGCGCATCAGCAACCTTAAGCCAAGGCCTCTCTGCTTTGGTCTGTTTCTTACATTAGGGTTCATTGTGGAATTACTGGGAACTGCCAAGTTGTGCCATGGTTTCCACATTTTTTAGCTTGTTCATGTGCCCTCAAATTTTCCAGTTTTCTGGTACTAATAAATAGTACAGTGGTAAACATAGTGGTGTGTGTCAATTTTTTTTTCATTTAAGAATTTCTTTGAGATTTCTCAAGGGTGCTATGATCAGATACTAAGTATCTAAATATATTTTCAAACCTGCCGTCTCCAACTCATCCTCAAGTGGTTTCACAGCTATTTGTCCTTCCTAATTTATTTAGTTTTGCTATTTGATTGGGCTATCACATCCTCTATTACTTGTTTTTTTTTTTTTGCACTTTTTTTCAGAATTGGGGTTATACTCATGTTTGCTAAACAGGCACTCTTGAGCCATGCTCCCAGCCTTTGATTGCTTTAGTTATTTTTCAGATAAGGTCTTATTTTTCTGCCTTTCAGCCTCAGACTACAATCCTTCTACTTATAGCCTCTTACGTAGCTGGTATCACAATATATAGCACCATGCTGGGCTTATTGGTTGAGATGGGGGTCTCACTAACTTTTTGCCTGGGCTGGCCTCAAAGTACAGTCTTCCCAATCTCTGCCTCCTGAGTTTCTGAGCCACTATACCTGGCGCCTTATTTGCACTTTTTAATGGCAAAAGATGGGATGTGTGTGTGTGTGTGTGTGTGTGTGTGTGTGTGTGTGTGTGTGTGTGTGTGTGTGTTTTAGACATTTTTTATTTTATTTCTTTATTGTTTTGGTGCTACTAGGGTTTGAACTCAGGGCTTTGAACTTGGTAAGCAAGCATTCTGCTGCTTGAGTCACACCTCTAGCTAGGATGTGTTTTTCATTCATTGACATTTATTGTTTTTTTACCTCATAGAAATTGCTCACATCCTTTGATCGGGTTAAATATGGATGTTAACTTTGTACTTAAAAAAAAAACTTATAACCAGGTGTGGCACACCTGTAATCCCAGCACTCTGGAGGCTGAAACAGGAGGATCTTGAGTTCAAGGTCATCCTGGGCTACCTAGAGAGACTGTCTCAAAAAGACCCCCAAAAATGAAACAACTTAACTGCCATTGGGTGAGATGGTGCACATCTGTAGTGTGAGCTACTGAGCTACTTTGGAGGCTAAGGTAAGAAGATAGCTTGAGCCCAAGAGTTCAAGGCCAGCGAAAGACCTTATCTCAAAAAGAAGAAAAAAAAAAAATCTTTTTTTTTTTTTTTTTTTTTTGTGGTTTTGGTACCTTGAACCACTCCACCAGCCCTTTTTCTGTGAAGGTTTTTTTTTTTTTTGAGATAGGGTCTCACAAACTGTTTGCCCAGGCTGGCTTCAAACCATGATCCCCCTGATCTGTGTCTCCTGAGTAGCTAGATTTACAGAGTGTGAGCCACTGATGCCCAAGCAAAAAATGAACATTGAAAACATAAATAAAGGGGCTGGCAGAGTGGCTGAAGTGGTAGGGCATTTGCCTAGCAAGAATGAGGTCCTGGGTTCAAACCCCAGTACTGCCAAAAAAAAATTTCCAAAAAAAAAAAAATAAAACCCGTAAATAAGTAGGGCTGGGTGGAGCTGTTTTAGAGCATCTGCCTAGCATTCATGAGGTTCTGGATTTGATCCCCAGAGCACAAAACAACAGTTTTGCAGTAAGTATTAGTTCAATTGGAGGATGGTTTCCTCTTTAAGACTGCCAGGCCAGTTGCTGGTGGCTCATGCCCATAATCCTAGCTACTCGGGAGGCAGAGATCAGGAGGATTAAGGTTTGAAGCCAGTCTGGGCAGATAGTTCACAAAATCCTATCTCAAAAATACTCAACACACAAAAAAAGAAGGGCTGATGGAGTGGCTCAAGTGGTAGAGAGCCTGCCTAGCAAGCATGAGGTCCTGAGTTCAAGCCCCAGTACCATCAAGATGAGGTCATGTGGATGACTGAGCCAAGCAGGTGCCACAAGTAGTCACAGTGGACTCCACTGCTGCCCTGTGGCAAAGTGGGGCACCATGATAAGTCAAAGGCCAGGATCCTGGTTGCCACACCTCTGTTGCTGACTCTCCTCAGATTTCATGAACGTCTACTACCAGATTCGCTCCAGCCAGCTGGACCGCTCTATCAAGGGCCTGAAGGAGCATTTCCGGAAAAGCAGTTCTTCGTCTGGAGTTCCCTACTCCCCTGCTATCCCCAACAAGAGGAAGGACACACCTACCAAGAAGCCAGTCAAGCGGCCAGGTGAGGGTCCCATACCGCCCCCCTACCTCCCAGTCATCTAAGCAGCAACCAGAGAGCTGCCTGGGATCTGGACTACTTTTATAAACCCTGGATCAACAGTGTCAGACCCCTCCAGCTTGTATCATGGTAACCCCAGCCATAGTTACATGGGACAGAAAGCAAGTTCCTACCTATCAGCAAGGCCTTGTAGAGTGAGACTCTTATACCAGCAGAGTCTGGAGGTTACATAATATCTTTGGGGAAGATAGTGTCACAGGCATGTTAAATTCTCTCTCCTGAGGCAGGGTGACAGCGGCCACAGAACACAGTCACTTGCTGGGTCCCCTTTCCCTCCCTCTGTTGTCCTGTCCAAAGGTAAGACAGAGATGGTAGTGACCATCCAGCCTACATCTTCCAGAAAGCAAGGTGACTGGAAGTGATGTGTAGTGAGAAGTGGATGGGGAAGGGCTTATCCTTTCAGTCTATCCGAAAGGAAAGAATCCCAGGCTGTCCTCGAGGAAGACTGTGAACTGACTGTTGGGCTCTAATGCAAAGGTAGTGCCTGGTAGTGGAAGAGTCAGTGAAAGGGCATGGTGTAGATGGAGGCCTGGGCTGCAGCTTGTTGGTGTCCTAAAAGCAGCCTGTCATCACATCCCATAGTCTGGGCTCCAGCTAAACTACGTCTGTGTGTCAGTTATAGCTTGTCAGCCTGGCCGTCTACACCTCGACAGATGCTGACTTCAGCTCCAGTGGAGATTGGATGTCAGGGTGGGAGCTGCCAAGTTACCACTGGGAGAGGAAGCCAGTGAGAAGGCCTCACCCTGGAACCCTCAGCTGCTGATGCAGGCACTTCCCTAGTGTGACCCAGGAAACACACCTTTATAACATCAGTACCCCCATTTTTCTAGTCCCAGCTTGCCCATGCTCCTCAGAGAGTGAGGTGTCTGTTCACACTCCACTAGCCGCCTGCTCCTCCTCAGGCCTTTGCTTAGGGTTTGGAGACATGGCCATTGGAATCTGCCCTCAGGGGCACAAGTGAGTAGCAGAGCATTAAGGAGCTGGGCTGGTGGCCCTGGTAGGAAATACCTGTCTTCTTTCCTTTAAGTGGATATCCTGGCTGCCTTTTGAGAAACCTGCCGCAATAGTGACTCTACTAACCCACCATGCTGGGCTACAGCTGCCATCGTGGCTGGCTGTCCATCTCTGGGCCTTTGTTGTGGGGGAGGGGCTGTCTCCATGAGGCTGGCTGGGCCTCAGCACTCTGTGCTGGTTTCCTCTTCTGCCTTGCTATCTGATAGGCCTACTGTATGCCCTAGAACCCTGTTTGTACCACCTCAGGAGTGCCTGCTGGCCAGCTTTTCAAGAGGGTGATTTGACGTCAGGGCTCACTGTGGACTAGTTTGTCCTTGGCATAGAGCCACAGGAAGAAAATTGCTATGAGAGCCTTGTGGTTTTATAGGGTTTTAAGAGTTAGCAGGAGCTTGTGGGTTCAGGACTAATGTGAGGACAGGGAGTCAGGCCCTTGGGACATCTGTTCCCACTCTAAGGAGAGGTGCAATGAGGCCTCATCAGTGATGAGGCACTGACCTCAGCATCCACCCTGGTAATTGAGGACCTGATGGGTTTGGCAGCTGTCTAGTCAGCATACCATCTCCTGCAAGCCAGTGCACTGGTTAGGTCCCTGTTGAGCTAGGCAGCCCATCTGCTCCTGGGCAGGAATCTGATTGGCTCATTAGCAAGGCATTCACTGAAGGAGGAAACTCAGGAGAGACAGACATGAGCCAGCCGCCACATTGAGTTATCAGTAGCTAATTGCAGTGTGGTGCAGACAGAGAGAGAGAGGAGCCAGCTGGGCCCTGCCCTGGCTCCCCCAGCCTTCTGGAGAGATACCAGGACACAGCAGGCTTGGTGGGTTCAGATCTGGTGGGGGAGTCTGCGGGAAAGGCAGCCAGAGTTAAGTTTTTGGGTACTTCCCCTTTCCCCATACGTTTTGTTAACCAGGCAGCAGAACCTTGTCTACTTGAATACCATTTTATATCCCCACATTTTCTGCCCCAAGATGTCTCTTCCACAGAGGTGACTGGCCCCAGAGGCTGTGCTTTCAGCAGATTTGTTTATATCGTTTTCACTTGTGATACTAACTGTTCTTTTTTCCCCCCACGCCAAGAGCATGAGTGCCCTCCTCCTGCTATCCCTCCAGGGTGGTGACTTCTATTGGCCCCTTCCTGGCTTTTCAATTTGTACCCATTACTGTGGTGCTTGGGTGACTCACCTGCTGTGGGCATTTCTGCCTCTGGGTGGGTCTCTGAGCCTCTGTTTGGGGCTCATTCCCACTTCTTCAACTCCCAGGGTCTGCTTGCCATGGACTGCTGTTTGGCTTAAGTCCCAACACTGAGCATGCTTGGGGAACTCAGCCTGGATTTAGGGCTGACTTCCAGGGGACCCCCAGGCTCTGCTAGCTGGGTCATGCCCTTGGAGTGTGAGAGCTTTGTCACCAGCTCCTCCAACTGTGCTGATTAAAATGCCACATTGTAGAATTTGGTACTTTTTACTTCCAACTTTTGTTGGATCTTCATGCATCTTATCTTGGTCACTCTCTGTACCTCCTGAGATGAACTCAAATCCAGAACAAGTGTTCACAGTAGAGCCCAGAGCTGCGTTTGGAGGATGACATGTTTCCCTCTCCCCATCCTTGGGGTCTTAGCAGCCCTGGGGCAGGGCCTACCTGGAGAGGTGTCAAGAGGCATGCTCGCTGTTGGGTAGGGTGCGGGCTGGGCAGGTGGAGGGCCGCTGCTGTTTTCTCTTGCTCATTTCCTAGGTCTTCTTACCTCCTCTCTGTGTGACTCTGGTGACAGGGACGATCCGGAAGGCTCAGAACCTTCTGAAACAGTATTCCCAGCATGGTCTAGATGGGAAAAAGGGGGGCTCTAACCTCATTCCTCTGGAAGGTAATCACCCCATGTTCCTTTCTGTTCCCTCCTCCACTGTGTGTCCACTCACTTGGCAGGGCAGAGCCTCCCCCAGGAGGGCCTCGGGAGAAACTCTAAGGGGTGCAGGGTGGGAATGGCAAGTCCCTGGTGCCACTCAGGCTTCAGTGGGCACAGGGATAGGTTTTGTGGCTTTTGGCCTGGTCCTGTCTGGCTGATGGCAGCTCTGCCCTCCCGAGGCTCCCCACCTCCCCATCTCTGTCCTTGTCTCCTGTGTGAACTCAGAGAAAGTTTTTTGTCTTGGGGCAGCCCTTTCACACTCAGACCACAAGGCAGGACCAAGCTGGCCGAGGCTTCCTGGCCACCCTTCTCATTAGAAAGGAGACTGCATATTACAATGGGGTAGGCCACGTGGAGGCTATGTCCTTCCCTCCCTCCTGTCGGGGAGGGACAGCCAGGTTAGCTGTCGTAGTGGCTATGACCCTCCTACAAAAAAATCATCCTGGGGAGCAAAGGAAGGCTTCCCCTGTCACTCAGCGATGACATTTCTTTTTGGGTCTTTCTCTAAATACAGTGAGATGGGGAAACCCCATAGGGTAGAGCATTAGACTCTGCTTGGTCCACCTGCCTTTCTCTCAGCCTCCTGGCTCAGGGAAACAAGCAGCCAGGGATGGTCCTGAGCACCCCTGTGAGTCAGGTGGGAAACGGCTGTTCCCTTGGTGGTTCGAGGCAGAGGAGGGGCTCAGAGCCCTCACCAACACCCCTCCCTGTGCCCCATCTCACATCCCCCTCTGGAGATCAAGGGCTTTCCCCCATAACCTGAGAGGGAGCTGCCTGGCCCTGGATAAATGCTGCTTGTGTTTGTGCGGCCGACATCTCGCTAGGTCACGAGCATGATTTCCGAGTTAAGCACCTGTCCGAGGGCCTGAACGACAAGCACGGGCCACTGGCTGGTGAGTACCGTCGCCCAGCTCCAGGGCAGCCGCTGATACTGCCTTCGCCGCAGTCCCTGGATGGCCTGCTCCTGCCTGGTCCACCTGGGCCCACTCTGCTCCAAGGACAGATCAGGCCTATTGCCTGGCTGCAGCTCCAAACTCTTGGACTCTTACCTCTCTCTAGATGGAAGTACATGCCTGACTGTCTGGGCTGGCCAGGGGAGAAGCTGGGGCAATGGCTCCTTGAGGGACAGGGAACCTTGATGTCTTAACTCCTCAGAGCCCATCCCTTGTCATGTAGGACCAGGATGTCCTGTGCTGGTTTTGTCTACAGGCATCCCTGCCATGGCCTTCAAAAGTGGGATGCAGTCTCTTCCTGGCCCAACTGACCAGCAGCTGGAGCTCACTTAACTCTTCTCAGATTGTTTTGTTTGAATCAGGGTCTCACTATGTAACCCAGGTTGAATTCACTATCCTCCCGCCTCAGCCTCCTGAGTGCTAGGATTATAGGCATGCACCACCATGCCTGGCCACTGCAGATTTTGACCCGAGGCCAGCTACCCTCATAAATACCCCACCACCCTCTTGTGCATTCCAACAGGCCTGATTGGGCACAGAGGCCCAGCATTTTCTCAGATGAAGGACCACAGTGCCTGCCTAAAGAGGCTCAGTTAAGAATCCTTAGTCCTGGGGTCAGACATACCTTATTAAAGAAGTTGGTTTAGGAATCTTCCCTCCGCCTTTGTCTTTCTCCCATACCTCTAGTATCTAATGCTATGAGGACATAAGTACTGTCTGTGCAGAGCTGAAAGTGATGCCAGGACAAAGGCTGGACTCAGCTCCTGACTTTTCCTGAGGCCAGTGGGGCCTGCCAGAGTCCTCATGGCCTCCTGCCAGAACAGCCTGCCTCTTCCTATCCGCTGCCAGTCTGGGCTACAGGCCAGAAGCCTGGGAGATCCATTCCCCGCCAGCAGGGTGAGCAACTTCCCCCAGACCAGCAGCTCAGGGGCACTCCTTCCCCCCCAGGAAGAGATGACATGCTGGATGTGGAAACCGATGCATATATTCACTGTGTCAGCGCCTTCGTCAAGCTGGCCCAGAGCGAGTACCAGCTGCTGACAGACATCATCCCTGAGCACCATCAAAAGAAAACCTTTGACTCCTTGATACAGGTCTCACCCTGCCCGGTCCCAGGGCTCTGACCCCAGTGTAGCTATCACTGCAGAGTCTTTTGAGTGTGGGGCAGGCCTGTTATCCAAAGCACTTGACTCCAGCCATTGCCTCTTATAGCCTGTGGCTCCATCCTGGGTGGATTCTCATTGCCTCCCCATACTGCCACAGCACGCTGGCTTTCCTTCATACCCCGAGAAGTACCCTCATTGTCCTGGGAACAGGTCGTCTACTCTGCCCTGTCCTGAGCTGGTGTCCTTTTCCCTCTCCCAGGATGCACTGGATGGACTGATGCTCGAGGGGGAGAATATTGTGTCTGCTGCCCGGAAGGCCATCATTCGCCATGACTTCTCCACAGTGCTCACGGTCTTCCCCATCCTGCGGCACCTCAAGCAGACCAAGCCTGAGTTTGACCAGGTGCTCCAGGTATGTGGGCTGGGAGGTCCCAAAGAATCCTGCCTCCCCATATAGCCTCCCCTCACCCCTCCCTGGGAAACCCCATTCTGTGCCCACATCTCTCTTCTGGGTGAATGGAAGCAGCTTCCACAGGGCCCTGGGCAAGTGAGGATGTTCATAAGGTGATTGAAGAACTGGTGTCTCTCTTGGGCTGGAGGATTAGTCCCCTGGGGTGGGGGCAAGGAAGCAGCCAGAAGAAGTTGCTGCACTCACACAGCCTGCTGCAAGGACAGTGGCCAGGGCTCTGGCCAGCATTTGTAGCCATATGCTTCCTCAGGGCACAGCTGCCAGCACCAAGAACAAGTTGCCTGGCCTCATCACCTCCATGGAGACCATTGGAGCCAAAGCCTTGGAGGACTTTGCAGACAACATCAAGGTGCCTGCATGCCTTTCCTTCTTTCACTTCCACCAGACCAGGCCTGGTGGCCCAGCTCTGTAGTACTTCTCAGAGCACAGGCCTACAAGAGGGACAGGTTTGTCCTGTCAATAGCCACTGTGCCATTGATCCCCTGTCAATACCCATTTGCCTCTCTTTCCTCCCTGACTTTAAAGCCCCTGAAGCTTGAAGCTCTGAGGGCACCTTAATGCCCATCTGCCAGGAGGTGGTGACATAAGCAGGCCAACTGAGGCATGGGATGGGTCCCAGGCTGCCCGAAGGAGCCCTTTCAGGAAACCCTGGGCTGTTTTTTCCACAGAATGATCCAGACAAGGAATACAACATGCCCAAGGATGGCACCGTGCATGAGCTCACAAGCAATGTAAGTGCTGCCTAAGTACCTCTGGGAAGGTGGAGGAAAGTGGGGCTCCAGTCCACGCACTGGGCATAGCACCTGTGGAGGGCACCCAGCCTGGCTCAGAGCTGCTTAGCCTTCATGAACAGTCACTAGTAGCAGGTAGATGGTGAAGTGCCTAGCATCTCCTGCAGACAGGGCTTTTCAGGCAACCAGAGCCCTAAGGATATCATACGAAGTTTCTACATACCCTTCTCACTGGACAGGCCCCTGGAATGGTAGTTACTCTGTTGGTCATATGGGGTGTGGGGGAGGCATTGACTTGGGCCTTCCCCCTGAGCTTCTTCCTGGGTGTGTCCTCCCTATCAGGCCATCCTCTTCCTGCAGCAGCTTCTGGACTTCCAGGAGACAGCAGGCGCCATGCTGGCCTCCCAAGGTATTCAGCACCCCATCTGGGCCTGCCTGCTCCCTAGTGCTCCCTCTTTCCTGGGGACATGGGGTTAGGTCCCCTAGGAGGTACTAACCTCTACTGGGTAAGGGCAGGTCTTGGTGAGGGGTCTTCTCCAGGCAGTGGAGTGGGATTGAGACATGGTCTGCAGGGAGACCCTGAGTGCCCTGGGTATGCAAGGTTAAACATCAAGAGAGTGAAGTTTGCCCATGCTTCCATGATTCCCCCAGTCTCTCCCTCACTCCTTTTGGCAATCCTTACTCTGGAACAGACACTACTAGCTTGAAGGTGCCCTTCCTGCCCTCCTTCCATATTTCTCTACTGCCTTTCATGTCTACCTGTTCTTCTGATCAGAGTCACAGCTGACCCTTGGTGGCTGGTATCTCAGGGTCAGCTGGTGTTCTCCTACTGGCCACCACCCTGGGACTGGAGTTTGGGAAGAGCACTTTTCTGAGTCATTCCAGGCCTTCCCCGTCTGCCCTTGTTCTAGGGACAAGGAGTCAAAGGGCTGCCTCTGGCCTGTAGTTCTCCAGATCTACATTTTCCATTGTGTTGTCTGGTCTTGAGAGGGTTTGGCCTGATATGTCCTGCTGTCTGTGTCTGGTTGTAGTGGGGAGAGGTCTGCTTGAATTGGGGTGGCACAGCGATTTCTAACCTGTTTTTTGCACTTTGCATCTTTCTCTCTGTCTCCCTCTGTCCCCTCTTTGTGCACTGCCTTTCACTCCGTAGTTCTTGGGGACACATACAATATTCCTTTAGACCCCCGAGGTAAGCAGTGTGGCTGCACAGCCCCATCCTCCCCTCTGAAACCCTGTGGGTGAGGTTCCCTGGGGACCAACTCTCAGGACCTGCAGGGGCAGGGGCAGCGGCAGCGGGGACATGAGCTCCCTAGAGTGTTTTCACCTTGCCCTCTTCATGGCCACCTTCTGTCTCTGAACCTATCCAGGCAGTACCCTGCTGCGTCTAGCACCTTGGATACACCCTCTTGGCTAGCCCAGCCCCTCCCCCCTGGCCTTCAGCTCTGCAGTCAACAGGTTCCTCTGTTCTAGTAGTGAGGGTTGTGGGAAGTAGGGAGAAGGTGGAGAGGCTGTGGGTCCTCATTTCGAGACTTCTATTGGCAAATGGAAAAAGGAGGCCTTGTAGATGCCCTTCAAGCATGAGTCGCAGGCCAAGGGGGGAAGGACAGATGGTCCACTCCTGCCCCACCAGCCTTCCTGCTGACATGGGTCAGCTTCTTAGCCATATCACTCCATCAGGATAGGAGGGGAGTATCAGGATAGAAGGGGAGTCCTGGGTTCCCAAAGGAGTCCAAGGGCAGCATTTCCTGTGACAGGACAACCCTGCAGCTCAGCAGGAACCCAGCTGTGCCTGAGCTCTGAGCCATTGCCCCTGGAAGCCTGGGGCCTCTCCCAGCATTTCCCCTGTTGCTCCTTGGGTGGAGGAAGGGCTGCTGAGGGTATTGGCAACTGGCACTGCAGTAACAGGACTTCTCCTCTCAGAGACCAGTTCTTCGGCCACCAGCTACAGCTCTGAGTTCAGCAAGCGACTGCTGAGCACTTATATCTGTGAGTGTCTTTTGGGCAGAACCTGCTCCCTTTTCCCTGCCATGCCTTTCTGTGCTTTCCAGTTATTCCAGGTCCCTCTCCTGCTCTCCTGACCTCAAAACAGCAGCACAGGCTCCAGCTAAAGGGCCAAGGGGTTGGGAAAGACTCCTGAGGCCTGGAAGTCAGGAGACAAGGATCTATGGGCAAACACTGGTTGGTGGGTCCTGTGGTTAGATCATTTGGGTCAGACTGCCCTGGTAGGTGTGGCCCCATCTTTCCCTGTGCAGGTAAAGTCCTGGGCAATCTGCAGCTGAACTTGCTGAGCAAGTCCAAGGTGTATGAGGACCTCGCACTGAGTGCCATTTTTCTGCACAACAACTACAACTACATCCTCAAGTCCCTGGAAAAGTAAGTGGCTGCAGAGCCAGGCCTGCATCTGTTGGCTGGGCAGCCATAACAACTTATGCCCTCTGGGACTGGCTGCACCCTCTAGGAACGTTAGTCTTCTTGGTCCTCCACTCAGGGTAGGCTGAGTACTCCTGCCTTGAGGATTGGAGATGGGATGGGGAGATCTCCTTCTTGGTGTTGCTGCTGAAGCAGCCTCTGAGCCAATTCTGTCCTTCTCTACTCTCTCCCCCTACCTATGCCAGGTCTGAGCTGATCCAGTTGGTGGCCGTGACCCAGAAGACTGCCGAGCGCTCCTACCGGGAGCACATTGAGCAGCAGATCCAGACCTACCAACGCAGGTAAGCAGCCACTCACTCTCCGGCAGGGTCCCAGCTGTCCAGCCTCACCCCTACCCTCTTCCTTCTCAGCACCTCAGCACCTCCTTGGAGTGGGGTCAGCACCTGGTTCCCTGAGGACTTAATCCTTATCTATTGGTTTTTGTTTGCTTTTTTGTTTTATGTTGGAGGTCACCTGTAGCCTTTTTCCTTCACTTGTTTTTGTTTGTTTGAGATAGGGTCTTGCTATGTAGCCCAGGCTGGCCTCAAACTCATAATCTTCCCACTTCAGCCGCCCTAGTGCTGACATTAAAGGCACAAGCCACCACACCTAGCTTCTCCACTTATTTTGTAATCAAATTCATGAGGTTGAAGAAAGAAATCCCACACACACACCTGTTCCCCAGGAGCCACAGAACCGCTTCACAGTGGTCTGCCAAATGTTGAGACTGAGTAAAAAGCTAACTGTCAAAGATGTGGTTAATGCTTAGCCCAAAAGAAGAAGAGAGTCCAAGAGCCCTTGAACTTGGATGAACTCTCGCTTCTTCTCTGGTCCTGTTTCCTTGGCTTGTTTCTTCCCTTCTAGTGCCTCCCGCTTCCCTCCTGTTATCTGTCATCAGCTCCCTCTCTTTTCTTCTGTTACTGCATATTATTTGCCATGATACTGATGTGAAGTGTAGTTGACAGTATTTGTTCAATTTTTTGACCACCTTCTGCTTCCTGTTCTTAATTGTTAAAGTGAGCAGCTTAAACATTTTCTGGTTCCAAGGAGCACATCTCAGTTGTTTTGCTCAGTCGTGAACAAATCAATTCCTACTGTCCGCCCCAACCAAACAGACCAAGAGATTGAAAAAACAGAACAAGCCATCCTCAGGGAAGAAGCAACTCTCTGAGGCTGGCCCTTCCTGGCCTCATGCCTTTCTCTCTGTGTGTGTGTGTCTCTCTCTCTCTCTCTGCTGTCTGGCAGCTGGTTAAAGGTGACTGATTACATTGCAGAGAAGAATCTACCTGTGTTCCAGCCTGGAGTCAAGGTAAGCTGAAAACCTGGGCTGGGAAGGGATATTGAGCAGATGTGAGACTTTTTGTCGTGTCTTGAGAAAAAGCGGACAAACATTCCTCTGAGATCAGAGCAAAAAAATTTTTATGGCTGTGCGGGCAGTGGGAAGAGTACCAGGGCCCACAGTGCTTGGGACTGGAGCCGGGCAGGGTGGTTTTGCTCTGAGAAGAACTCTCTCTGACTTCTCCCGCAGCTCCGTGACAAGGAGCGACAGATGATCAAGGAGCGCTTTAAGGTGAGTCAGGGTCCTTTCGCTCTCCCATTTGCTGCTGCTGTTGTGGTGACACAGACCCAAAGCTTTTATCTCTGGGTCCCTTCCCTGTCTATCTGCTTGATGGCCAGGGCTTCAATGATGGTCTTGAAGAACTGTGCAAGATCCAGAAGGCCTGGGCTATTCCAGACACAGAGCAGAGGGACAAGATTCGCCAGATTCAGAAAAATATTGTTAAGGAGACCTATGGAACCTTCCTGCACAGGTAAGTCCTTCCCCTCCTCAGCCCTCTGCTTCCCACTTCCCAAATGGGTTCTGTGCTCTCCCCTTCCTCAAGCAAAAAGGAAGAGGGTGGTGGGATTAGACAGCACATCCAGTGCTATGGGCATTGGGACATCATAGAGGGCACCCTGTGCCATCTCTGAGACCTGTGAGAAGTGCCTGGGATCGAGGGTGGCACTGACCTGCCCCGACCACTGTGCCTGGTCAGGTATGGCAGCGTGCCCTTCACCAAGAACCCTGAGAAGTACATCAAATACCGAGTGGAGCAGGTGGGCGACATGATCGATCGGCTTTTTGACACTTCTGCCTAAGCCTGCCAGTGTCCCTGACTAACCATGTCATTGCACAGATAAACCAGTGTTAACTTGCCTCTGGGCCGGGTGAGCGTGAAATCCTTTGGGAACTTCTTCCCAGCAGCCCACATTCCCTACCAAAGCAGCACCCTCCCAGAGTACAGGGTCTTTTCACCCTTTGGGTTTTGTGACTGAGCACAGCCAACTGAGGCCATTAGGTAGCTTTTGAGAGAAGACAGGAAAGAAGGAAGACAAAGCCTGTGCCCCCAGCTGTCTCACGTATAAAGAGCAGAAGGGCAGACTCTACCTCGGGGAACCTAGTTTAGTACTTGGAGATGGAGAACTCCCTTTCAGTTCAGAAGTGTGGTGGGGCTCAGAAGAAATCCTCTTGCCATGTTGCAGCCAGAGGATCTAGAGGAAGAGCAGTCTGGGTGACCTGCCTCTTGGATTTAGTGCATGGCCCACAGTCCTAAGTCTCCCAGGAATTCTCTGGGTGGCAGGAACAGGAGTACTCTGTCTCCATTTGCTTCCCAGTTCAACACCACAGGAAGCATTCAGAGGAATTCTGACCCACCCTCTGGGATCAGCTGCTCAGACACCTGCCTCTTAGACCTCAGCATCATATACCTCCTGGCCCAGGGCCAGACAGCAGTGGTCACAGAAGGAGCCATTAGTCTGCGTGCAAATGGAGACTGGTGGGTGATGGTGTAGTAAAAGTGAGGGGTCAAGGGTGTGAAGTTGGGTTCCACCTACTTAGGATGAGAGTGAACAGCTAAAGTCATGAAGGCAGGCCCTTGAGGTGAACTTGCACTTGGGTGATGGGCCTATTTCACATGTAGCTTGTACACTCACAGAGGGGAAAGCATGGGGGGCAGGGACAGGAAATAGAGCTGACCCTCCTCTTCCTCCTCTCTAAAGACCCTGTCGTGGCCCTCATCCCAGCTGTTGGAAACCATACCACATCCTAAGATCTGAAGCCCTAGGCCCTGCCCTGTTACAACCCAGGCTGCCTGACATGAGTAGCTATTCTTCGGGGCTTCTCCAAAATGCTCTCCCAGAGCAAAGGGTGAAGGCCAGGGGTTATCAGCCCACATTCTCCCTTCCTTAGAGTCTCAACTAATGAAAGTTTGGGGCTGGACAATCCTAAGCCACCTCCAGTGGAAAAAACACCCTCTTAGCCGTGCAGGGGATCTGAGGTCACCTGGACCATTGGGGAGCCTAGGCTAGCTCCCTGCTCCAGAAAGACCTGCTTCTTCCCCTGGAGAATGTGATGGAGCCCAGGGACAGTAGAACCACAGAGTGACTGCATAGAGCCTCCAACATGCCCAGCCTGGCCTGAGCCTGGCCCAACCCTATGTGTGTAGCTTTTCAGCTGTGCTCTACAGATCTGCTCCGATACTTCTGTCCTCATCACCCCTAACCCCCAGAAGGGGCTTTGGCTCCTGCCCACCTTCGGGATTGGGCCCTGGGTTCCCCTTATCTCTCCATTCCCCTCTTGGGACTGGGCTTGAGCTGCTCTTGTCCCTAAGGCTGTCTTGGTCTAGCAACCCAGCCAACAGCATGGTCTCCCTGGTGCTGAAGAAGAGTAGCAGTAGCAAGACTATGAAAAAGTAAACTGGAAGTGGGAGGGGATGTCAGGGGACTGACCTAGCTGGGCCAACTCAGGTGGCAACAGGTAGGAAAGAAGGAAGCAAGCCAGGTACAGTGGTCCTGCACAGGGGCAGGAGAGGAGGCAGGGCTTACTAAGAAGAGAGCTGGGCAGGAACTGTACCAGGGAGGAGTGGACAATGAGGGAGCAGTGTGCAGTGTCACTTTGTAGGCAATGAGCTCAGTGACCTGTAGGGGTAGCAGCCACTGCACACACACCTCACCCCCCCATGTCAACTAACAGCAGCGCCTGCCTCTTACCAACAGCACTAGGACAGATTTTATCACTCAGGTTCAGCTAGAAGAGAAATAGCCAGGCCTTCCCAAGATGTGGAGGGACAGGCAGCAGGAGGATAGTGTCATGCATCCGGCTCTATACCCTTCCCCTCTCCTCCATCAGCCTCTACCAGCCTTTTCCCACTTTGACTCACTATTACCTCACCTGGAAGCAGGGCACCAGATGCTGGGGTTGGACATGGGTTTTCAAAGCACAAACTACATATTCCCTCTCAATACTCACAATTTCTCACTGCATGGGCCTGGAACACCAGCACTGTCACTAAAAGGGATGGGAAGAGTGAACTAGGAAGATATTCCTGCCCCCAAATCTCCTGGGAGTAGGGACAGAAACAAACTGGAGCCAGGGATGATGCAGACTTCTGGTGGCTTCTGGAGAGCAGACTTGCAACTGAAACTGGTCCATAGGAATGTTCCCCAAACCTTTTCAGCACTTCAGGTTGTCTCCAGTTAAAAGAAGGGCCTTAGATTCATGGATAAGATTTCTTTGAAAAAATAAATGCATTTTGCATCACCTTGTAGTAGGGCATTGATCACAGTCTCATTCACCTGTAAGCCTCTGACACCCGAAATATTAGGGTTCGTAGGGCAGTGGCTGTGGTCTTTCATGGAGGGAGGAGAAGCCTTCCATGACAGTTTAGATTCACCTGATGGGTTTGTGGATATTCACTTGCCTTCAGCAATGAGGCCACCACAACCTGAATCTCTGGGCTTGATGCAAGCAGTCCAACCACTACAATTTGGCCTTGGCTGTTGAGAACAGTTGCTTTGGGGAGAGAAAACTGAAGTGACCATAACTCCAGGGTTGTGAGACAGCTGTGATATCTGTGTGAAACTGATCCTGGAGGAGGGTGGTAAGGCTACAACTGAGAGAACTGTGGGGGCTACAGGTTGACAAGCATGTGCCCAGCTGGCCTCCGTTCAGTTCCCATAAGCTTAAGCCTGGGGATACACCAGACTGAACACAGAGCCCTGTGTTAGTTGTGTGCTGGAGGCTATGCAGTCCCTGTCCCCTACTCTCTCCACTTCACTCTCAGCACCAGTATTGCTGAAAGTTTAGACTTTGAAGCTGCAGTTGCTCTGGTCCCTGGAAAAGTAGATTTGCTCAAAGTCACAGTTGGTCTCCATACTGTGGGGGCCAGGTTAACCTCCACGTGACCATCTTGGTCTATTCCTGGCCTGCAGGCACTGGTCCTTCCAGTCTACCCAGAGCCTGTGAGAAAAGCGCCACAGCCAAAGACCCAGTCCCAGCTCACCCTGGGAGGGAGATCCCTCCCCCAGCCCTGCCTGCTCTCAGGGTTTTGGCCGGCCATGAAGAAGGGAACATGCATTAGCACAGCAGTGGCAGTCACCAGGAGGGGAATGTTCACTAAGAATAAGAACTAAGAAGGGCACCAGGGCTCTAGATGGGGAAGGGGAAGAGAGGTGAGTGTGGTGGGTCCTGAGTCAAAAACTGCCTTAGGCTTCCCAGATGGGACACTGTGATTGTGCCTCTGATGCACAGGAGGAACGCAAGGATGCCACTGAGTCTTCGTTCTGTCCCTAAACTCAGCAAGTTGGTGAAGATTGGTGCTTCTGAGCATTCTCTTGCCCTGCCTCCCCTCGAAGGGAGCTTACCAGCCTTTGACTCAGTAGAGGACATACGTACTTAGGATGTCCTAGGGGAGGGGAGCAGACAACAAGTCTGCTCTAACTGGGAATGAGTCCTGCCCCTTTCTCAGCTCAGCACTTGGGTCACATGCCTTCCTGCAGCCTTGCCGTCTTAATACATTAAATACATTGGACATGAACAGCTGTGCACTCACTAGCAGGGGTGCACTCCCATTGTTTAAATCTGGATGCTTCCCTGAAACTCCAGGGCTAATTGAGTTTGAAGAGGGATGACCAGGCTGAAAGATGAGGTCAAGGTTATCCTGGTGCCCAGCTCCTGGATCAAGACTTAAGAAAGGCAAGATAGAGCAGAAACCACATCATCGTCTGCCACAAGGGGCTGAATAGAGTCATGGATCCTCAACTACAAACTACTTCAGTCACATCTCTGGGAGCTGAGCAGTTGGGTGGAGGCAGCCACTCTGTGCAAGGACTTGGGGCCTTGGACTTAGCCCCCCTTAGGTTCTGAAAACACCTAAAGACAAAGCAAAGGACCCAGCCTACCCATCTTCCACCTGCCTAGGCATCCTCGATCTCCATTTCTAGCACCTATAACCTGTTGCCCTGTTCAAAGCCCACCAAGGGGATGGGAGCAAGCCTGGGTCCCTTACCTTTCCCCTGTTAGGTCCTTCCAATCAGGGCTAAGGCCACAGGCCTCTTCTGTGTTTCAGTGGCTTCCGCAGCCTCTGGCCTAAGTGTTTTCTGCTTAATGATGTGAGATGGGGAGGCTCTTTTTAAGTGTCCTTTCCTTAAACACTGGTGATTTAATGTGAAGTGCCTTGGCTCAAGAACACTGAAGTGGCTCAAAGCCAGGGACAGGTGGAGACCAGTTCTTGAGTAGTTCTGGGGCATTCCTGTTCTCCCATTGAATTCTCAGCCTGCTCCAACCAAGCTGTGCTTTAGAATTGCTGCTAGGTGCCTGGAGTGAAACCTGCTGGGGGGTCGGGGTGGAAGGGGGAGATGACTTTCTTGACCCCAACAGAAACTGAAATGCTAGAAACCCTATCCTGCCCCATTGCAGCCAGGGAAGGAAACACCAAAGTCAAAAATGAGTGAGCACTGACCAGGCTGCCCAGACTCAAAGGGTCCCCTGGAAGCTAGGAGCAGATTGAGGACCACTCACACTTGTGCATGAATGCAACTAGAAACACAAGTAATGTTTGCCATCACCCAGCATTATCAAACCCACTTAAATAGTCTTCCTACTTTCGTCACATGCATTGGCTGATAGTTTAGCTTGGCACTTTTTTACTTTAACCTGGTTGGCTCTCCCTGTGGCTATTTGGTAGCTAGCAAAGCACTTCCCACTCTTCCCCCCCACATATGTCCCCATGGAGTCCCAGTCTTAAGAGACTTTTTCCTCCCATTTGGAGCTTCATGAGGAGAAATTCAGAGACACTGTGCATCACTGCAGATGGAATGGTTTTGCACGTTTTATTAACAGGAAACTTCCCACGGTCCCCAACCTCAGGCTCCAACCACTTAACATCCAAGCTTACTCCATAGGTGCACTCAGGTCACATTAACTGTCAAGATGCTGTTGGAGGCCTTTTGGTCCATTGATGGGCCGGGGACTTGGCAAGAGGCTGCACAGCTTGGAAGCACGGGGGCAGAGATAAGGGGCCCGACTGCCTCGCTCACATGCGTCAGGTCTGTGGACTCGCGCTCCAGCACGCTGCCAGTGTGCGTGCCAGGCACCTCGACGCACACGCGTCTGGAGGCTCCACGCGGGGCGCGGCCCAAGAGACCCGCGCAAATCTTGCGGAAGCCCTTGCGGAAGTGTTTGGAGACCAGCGCGTAGACGATGGGGTTGACGCAGGAGTTGGCGTATGAGACCAGGTGCGAGAGGATGCGCAGCGCGTAGGTGGCGCGTGTGAGTGGGAAGCGGCCAAACCACACGCAAAGGATCAGCGCGTGGTGGGGCATCCAACAGAGGCAGAAGAGCGCGGCCACAATGACGATCATGCGCGTCACCTTGTGCTTGGCGCGCGGTGCACCCGAGCCAGCCACCGGGTCGACAGAGCGCCAGAGGTAGCGCAGGGTGCGCGCGTAGGTCAGGCCGAGAACCAGCACCGGCAACAGGTAGCTGAAGACGAAGGTGCAGATGTCCATAGCGCGGCGACGAGGCGCGCTCCACGCTGGGTGGCACACAGTCAGGTTGGCCAATTGCGACTGACGGTAGTAGCTCAGATAGGGCCCGGAGAAAAGCAGCGCCAGCCCCCAGATGAGCCCGATGGCCGCCAGAGCGTTTCGAGGCGTGCGCAGCTGGCGGGAGTGCAGCGGGTAGCGGATAGCCAGATACCTGGTGGAGGTAGAAAGACGTTGGTTGAGCGGGCTGGGCCGCTACTCCTGCACCTCCAGTCCCACACCCGCCCTCGAGAAAGATCCCTAACGCCTTGAGGAAAAGTCCAGTGCTTCAAACACTCGTTTGAGCCTAGAAGTGGGCCAACCAGGAAGGTGTGCATCTAGACCTCTCTTCTGCCGCCCCCCTGGGACGTCCCACAGATATCCTACACCCGAGAGGGCACCCAAAGCCACCAACTAAAAGTTGGAGAACCGACTATCGGGGTCTCCCAGAGGCTAAGGTTATCACTAAGTGACGTCCCCAGAGAAGTAGGATCCTAGTGCTTGAGGCTCTAGCAGACAGCCTGGAGAAGACGTGGCAGGCAAGGTACAAGAGGGAATTCCCAAGCAACGTTAGGGCTCTGTGGGTCCCGCCGGAGCACTGGACCGACACACTGTGGAAATGGGAGGCCATGAGGAGTGTGGCCTCATCTCCTTGCTCTTGGGAGGAGGAAGGGGTCCAGAGATAAGGAAAAGAAGGAAATACTGGAGTCTGGGACCTCCTCCCCAGGACCTACCCTAGTGTCTTTTCAAGTTCCATCTGAGTCCCGCGCTCTATGGCGGGCGCCTCTTTCCCTGTCCTCTGGCTGGGGATGCAGAACCAGAGTGCGCCCTCCTCTCCCTGCCCGCGTATAGAGGGGAGAGCAGGGCAAGTTGGGACTGAGCTAGGGACCCTGAGGCACTCTCAATCTGACTTTGGCGTGGGTCTTTCAGAAGGACTCAAGTTTCACAGTTCAGATTCAAGCCTTCTGCGCCAGACAAATGAGTTCTGTGGAGGCGCCCGAGCTCGGAGCTAAGAGATGATTACTATTTGGCTACTCTGAGCAAGTTACTCACAAACTAGATTCTTCTGTAAATTGGGCACAATAATCTTTCCCGTCCCAACGTCGCAGGGCACTAAACTCTAAGGGAGAGATAAAAAACAAGTGAAAACGCAGCCAGGCGTCCGTGGCTCATGCCTGTAATCCTAGCTAATTGGGAGGCTGAGATCTGGAGAATCTCGGTTCCAGGCCAGCCTGGGAAAGTAGTTCTGGGGACCCCCATCTCCAAAATAATCAGAACAAAATAGACTGGAGATGTGGCTCCAGAGGTAGAGTGCCTGCCTTGCATGTGCGAAGCCCTGAGTTCAAACCCCACCAGACACACACACACACAAACACACACACACACACATGTGAAAACGCGGTGTACCAGGAAACGCTGCGCAGTGTGCAGCGCACCGGCACTGGAGAGCTGAATTCCTCTGCCTTCCAGACCTGAGGACAGATCTAATGAGGGACATCTTAGTCTTTTTCTCCTCTGTACCCACTTGGGTTTCACTGCCTCCGGTCCCTTTGACGTCTTGGCGTCCTCTTCCACTCTCTGCGTCCCTCCTGGATCCCCGGGTTGCGCCTCCCTCCCCACCCCTGCCTGGGTGCCCAACCCTCAGAGCTCGCTCACCTGTCCAGAGAGACAGCGGCCAGCGTGAAGCTGCTGGCGTGCATGGTGAGGAAGATGAGGAAGTGCACGGCCTTGCAGAGCAGCGAGCCGAACACCCAGCCGTCCAGGGTGTAGATGGTGGCCTGGAAAGGCACGCAGCACACTATGAAGCACAGGTCGGCTACGCCCAGGTTGAGGATGAACAGGTTGGTGGTGCTGACCGCCTGGCCCCCGCGCAGCAGCACGGCCAGCACCAGCGCGTTGCCCACGGTGCCCAGGAGGAAAATGAGCGCAAAGAGCAGGGGCACGAGGATCGCCTCAGGCTGCCAGCTGCCCCCGCTGTCCGCCTGGCTCGCGTTCTCGGCCCCCGGGTCGCCCGAGCCGTTCATGGTGCAGCCAAACCCGAGGCCGCCTGGGCTGCTGCAGCCGTCTGGGTCTCGGCGAGCGCGCAGCGTCCGAGCGAGACTGAGACTCCCCCGAGCCGCAGGCGCCGGAGCCCGGGTGCTCTGGGGCCAGGGGGAGGAGCGAGCGGCCGGAGGGTGGGATGGTCCCCCGCGGCGGCCGGCCGCGCGGCGACAAGTGCTGTCGAGTGGCCCCTGCGCGCGCCCGGAGCCGAGGCGCCAGCCGCCCACCCCCGGCTGCAGTGCCCGCTCGCGCGCTCAGCGCCGGGATCCGAGCTGTTCGGCTCCCCTCGCACCCGTGGAGTGGTGGAGGGCGCCACCCCAGGACCCCCGCGCAGAGCTTCCCGGGACGCGTGAAGGCGCCCTGCATCACGGAGCAGAGGTGACATGGACTTTTTCCACAACTGCCCAGTGGGACCCGGCGTGCGCTCCACGTCTCCACCCATTGCTAAGTCCCTGGAACTCCAGGCCTCGCATTTTCTTTTTTCTTTTCTTTTTTCTCTTCTCTGTCCCTTTCTCCCCGCCCCCACTCTCCCCCTCTCTCTTTCCCTTTCTTTCCTCGCTTTTTGTTTTGAAACGGGGTCTTGTTACTTGGCCAGACTGAGTCCGGATCGATCTTCCTCCACTTCCCAACTGCTGGGATTACAGACGTGCCATATGCAAATTTTAAGTAAGCAAATTGTTAATTTAGTTCAAATTGATAAGTACTTGCAGGAAAAATAAGGGAATTTGGGGGTACCAGGATCATGACAATTTAAAATAAAGTAGGCATGGTCTGGCAGAGTGGCTTGAGTGGTAGAACTCTACTTAGCAAGCACGAGGCCCTGAGTTCAAACCCAGTACCACCAAATAATATATGAGTAAGAACAAATGAATAAAATAAGGTGGTTAGACAGACTTCATAAAGAAAGTGGTATTTATTTATTTATGGCATTACTGGGGTTTGAACTCAGGCCTTGAGCTTGCTAGGCAGGTGCTCTACCACTTGTGCCACAGCTCCAGCCCTTTTTGCTTCAGTTATATTTTCTAATAAGGTCTTGAGTTTATGCCTGGGTGGTCCTAGACCATCATCCTTTATGCTTCCTGAGTAGCTGGGGTGACAAGGCATGCACCACGCAACCAGTTTTTATTGATTGAGATGGGGTCTCTAGAGCTTTTTGCCTGGGCTGGCCTTGACTTTCCATCCCTTCCTGAGTAGCTGGGATTACAATGGTAAGCCATCATGCCTATTTATTTATTTATTTTTAATTCATCTTTTTTTCCAGTGCTGGGATGGAATACAGGGCCTTGAGCATGCTGTATGCAAGCCTACTATCAAACCAACCCCCCAGCCCAGAAGATGACATTTAGCTGGGAACCATGCTGCACACGCATTGTTACACAAGGATCTGAGGCAAGAGGATCACTTGAGCCCAGGAGTTCAAGGCTAGTCTAAGCAACATAGTGAAACTCTATTTAAGTGACATTTAAGCAAAGATGAGGAGGTGAGGTATCTAGAGGAAGAATGTTATAGAAAGAGGGAACAGCCAGTGCAAATGTGCCAAGGCAGGAGTGTGTCCTGTCCCTAAGGCAAGGAGACTGGTGTGCACTGAGATGAACGAGCAAGGAGACTGGCAGAAGAGGCGAGAGTAGGGCTTTTTCTATCATGTAGTCTAGCTTGTGCTTTAGGCTGGTAACATGAGGAGGCTCTGCAGGGTTCTGACTACAGCACTAACATGATCAGATTCTTTTGGGGGCAACAGCTTTATTGAAATATAACCACACACCACCGTTTACGCATTTAAAGTATTCATTTGGTTCTTGGTATATTCAGAGCTGTGTAGCAATCACCACACTCAGTTCTACAGGGTTTCCTTCCCCACGGAAAGAAACCCTACCTTTTATCATTCTCCCATCTCCACCCCAACCTACCCCCAACCCTAGGCAACCACTAATCCACTTTCTGTTTTATAGAGTTAATCATATAATACGTGGCCTTTTATGGCTGGCTTGTTTCACTTAGCATGTTTTCAAGTTTCATTCACGTGTAGCATAGTCAGTCCTTCTTTCCTTTTTGTGGCCAAATAATACTCCATTGCATGGTTATGCCACATACTATTTTCCATTTATCTGTTGATGTATATTAGGAGGCTTTTTTGTTTTGTTTTGCTTTGCTTTTTGAGATAGGGTCTCACCATGTAGCCCAAGTTGGCTTTGAACTCACTATGTAACACAGGTTTACCTTCTACTGTGATCCTCTTGCTTCAGTCTCCCAAATGCTGGGATTACAGTGTGGACCGCCAAGGGTGGCCAGAGGCATTTAAAAAATTTACTTATTCTTTATTTATTGTCATGCTGGAGCATGATTAGGCAAGTGCTCTTCCATGGAACTACACCTGAGCCCTATTTTTTTTTTTTATTTGTAATTGTGGCTCAATACACTTGACCTAAAATTTACCATCTTAAGATATAAGTACATTGTGTATGTAGTTTATCGTGCATATAGTATCATGTAAATGTGGTATACTCAGCACTGTATTCAGTATAGTATATTGTTTCAATCAATTCCAGAACTTCTTTATTTTGCAAACTGAAACTCATTCAACAAATCTCCAAATCCCTTCGCTACTGAGCCAAAACAACGCACGACCATACATCATTCACTGTCTCTATGAATTTCCCTAATCTAGGTGCCCCATGTAAGGGGAATCCTTTTGTGACAGGCTTACTTAATTTAGCATAATATTCTCAGGGTTTATCCATGTTGTAGCATGTATCAGAATTTTCCTTTTTTTTTTTTTTTAATTACTGGGGATTAAACCCAGAGCGCTCTTGAATACCAGGTAAGTGTTCGTGCATATAGTATCATGTAAATGTGGTATACTCAGCACTGTATTCAGTATAGTATATTGTTTCAATCAATTCCAGAACTTCTTTATTTTGCAAACTGAAACTCATTCAACAAATCTCCAAATCCCCTCCTACCTGAGCCACAACACAGGCAACCATCATTCTACTGTCTCTATGAATTTCCCTAATCTAGGTGCCCCATGAGCCACAACACAGGCAACCATCATTCTACTGTCTCTATGAATTTCCCTAATCTAGGTGCCCCATGTAAGGGGAATCCTTTTGTGACAGGCTTACTTAATTTAGCATAATATTCTCAGGGTTTATCCATGTTGTAGCATGTATCAGAATTTTCCTTTTTTTTTTTTTAATTACTGGGGATTAAACCCAGAGCCTCTTGAATACCAGGTAAGTGTTCTGCCACTGAGCCCCTTTTTATTTTAAGACCGGCCCAGGCTGGCTTAGAACTTGTGCTCTTCCTGTCTTAACTTCCTGAATAACTGGAATTACAGGTGTATACCCCATGCCAGGTTGAATAATATTCCCTTTTATGGATATACCACACTTTGGTAATCCCTCAAAGGACACTGGGTTGTTTCCACCTTTTGTTAAGAAGAATGTGGATTTACAAATATTTGTTCTGGTCCCTGCTTTCAATTCTTTTATTTATTTATTTTTTTGGTGGTACTGGGTTTGAACTCAGGGCCTCATGCTTACTAGGCAGGCACCCTACCACTTGAGCCACTCCACCCACCCTTTTTTTGTGTTGAGTATTTTCGAGATAGAACCAGGAGAACTATTTGCCCAGGCTGGTTTCGAACCGTGATCCTCCTGATCTCTGCCTCCCCAGAAGTTAGGATTACAAGCCTGAGCCACCAGTGCTGGGCTTGAGACAGGGTCTTGCTATATTATCCAGGCTGTCCTTGAACTATCAATCCTACCTTAGCTTCCCCAGTCCTGGGTTAAAAGTGTGCACCACTACACAAGACCAGCCTGGGCAGATATTTTATTTTCATTTTAGAAACATGGTCTCCCACTGTAGTCTAGGCTGACCTGGAACTCGGGATCCTCTTGTCTCTGCTTCTTCAGTACTGGGGTTACAGACAAGCACCATCACCCACAGCTGAGAGATTAACTTTAAAAGGTCAATAGTATGTATGTATATATGTATGTAAAAAACAGGGTCGTCCAGGTTGGCCTCGAACTTGTGATCCTCCTGACTGGTATTACATCAAGGCAGCATCGGTGCAGAGACACAGGAGGTGGGCGTTCGCCTTCGGTCCTCACCCCTTTGCTGGAGAATCCCCGAGAACACATCGGAAACCAGCTAACACGCCTTGCCCGCCACCCTCGCGCATCAAAACCCGTGCGCAGGCGCGATCCAACCAGAGTGGCTGGCAGCCGCCGAAGCGTGCTGGACGCGGAGTCCGCCGCTATCCCATCAGCCCCGCGGGGCAGGTCCCGCTCTCTCCCGCCCTGGTCGTCTCGCCTCCTCTATCCCATCCTGCTCCGCGGCGCAGGGGCAAGATGGCGGCCGAAAAGCAGGTCCCGAGTGGCGGCGGCGGCGGCGGCGGCGGCGGCGGCGGTAGCAGCGGTGGTGGCGGTGGACGCGGTGGCGGAGGAGAGGAAAATAAAGAAAACGAACGCCCTTCAGCCGGATCGAAAGCAAACAGAGAATTCGGGGATAGCCTGAGTTTGGAGAGTATCCTAAAGACCTAACTCGCAATGACTACGTGTCCATCTGGAGGGCTGGGGCGGGAGAGGCTGGCTGACGGTGGCGGATTTCTCTTGCCCTTACTTTTTGGCACTCAGAGGTTCAGGCTGTGTCTCTCGACCGGTCTTTGCTCGCATGCCCCTCGTCCTCCAGGCTGGGGTATGTCCTGTTCTCCCCGGGGGCCCTGGGTCATGCGGGGGAGGGAGGGCTGTGCTGGGATGGACACCCGGGCCACCCCGCTGAGCTCCTGCACTGGGCAGAGGAGACTGCACTCTTGACTTTGCAGCTTAATGATCTTGCCTGACAGCTGTCGATAGACCGGCTAATAAAACTACAGCCTGATGCTTTGGGAGTGAGGTAAAGGTGGACTGCTCTGAGGAAAAGCAAGATAAATTAGCGTACTTTGTTAATATTTGTGTCGATTTCCTGATCGGGCTCGCTGGAGTCTTCAGAAGTGCCGGAGGAATCGGCTTCTAGTTTTCACTAGTGTGCTTGTGACATTAGTTTG